CCAAAAATAAAAAGCTTTCTGTTTTTTTAGTTTGATATTTTTCTTTAGATTTTTTGTGTTGTGCATCATTTCAAGTTTGGGCCCAAACCAACAAATAAACATAAATGGCATTAATCTCATGACTTTCTTGTGAGAACTCTTCAACTTTCAAGTTTTTTTTCTTTTTTTCGACCAAAAAAAATAAAATAAAAAACTGAAGACACAATTCCATAAACCATTATTGACTCCTCTGCGTTCAACGGACACGATTCTACGGAGAAACAAAACGCGTTTGCACTTTTTAAACACTAACGCATCCACAAAACGCCAAGTGGATAAACCGGTCCAAACGCAAACTTTCGGTTGAAATTGCGTCTATGTATATTTTGGAGAGAAACGTGATTAGAGAACAATCACTAGAATCTGAACCAGACAGTTTCTGATCTTCTTAGAGAAATCTTCTTTTCCTCAAGAGGATCTCTCGTAGAAGACACACACATAATCTCAGCTTCTTCCTCTAGAATGGCTGAAGTTGTCCGATTATCGGCGACGTCGGTTCAAGCCCTTCGAGTTTCTTCTTCCTTCACCTCCTTTGCCACGGCTCTCAATTCTCTGCAACCTTGTTTACCTCCAAATTCGAATCTGAATTCTGACAAGAGATTGCGTCTTGTCTCATCTTCTCCCTCTTGCTCTTTTTCTCATTACCCATCTTCTGGTCTCGGAACCCATAGCCTAGTTAGACGACCCAAGAGCCAGGTGGTCCGCGTCAAGGTGACAATGTTTTGGAAATTGATTGAATTTTGCTCTTCAAGTTTGATTTTCATGTCCTTTGGCTCTAGCTAGGTCGAATTGTGACTTATTTAGGCAATTTTTAGTTCGATTGTTTGAGTTTTAGACAATCTAGCATTTTGCTATAAAGGTAAGTTTTGTTCTTTAGCTGTTATTGAATCTCACTGATTTATGATACTATAGAATCTTATCCCATTTCAGATAATTAGAAACAAGTCTAAAGTTGCAATGTTTTCTTTAGATACGGTGATGCTTTGGATTGATTCGAATTAGATGGTGATACTTTCAGAGATAGTTTTTAAGTTTCTGATGTGTGTTTATGGTTTAGGTAGATGAAACTGTATCCGAGACAGAGCCACCGAAATGGTGGGAGAGGAATGCTCCAAACATGGTTGACATTCATTCTACTGAAGAATTCTTGAGTGCTTTGAGCGGGGCGGGCGAAAGATTAGTCATTGTAGAGTTTTATGGAACTTGGTGTGCTTCTTGCAGAGCATTGTTTCCAAAGGTTAGTTCAAGTTATTTCTTATGACTTATATGTTCGAGGAAGCTATAAGAATTCCATTTCTCTTGTGTGGTTCTGAGATAAATTAAGATGTTGTGTCTTGTTTGAAAATCTTTTTTAGCTTTGCAAGACGGCGGTGGAAAATCCGAATATATTGTTCCTCAAAGTAAACTTTGATGAGAATAAACCGATGTGCAAGAGTTTGAACGTCAAAGTACTTCCTTATTTCCACTTTTATCGTGGAGCTGATGGACAGCTTGAGTCCTTCTCATGTTCTCTTGCTAAGGTAAAGAAGCTACTTAAATCGGGCTATTCGGTTTCACCTTTTTTCATGACTAGAGTTTGGCATAAACCACTTCCCATTCACTCTTATATAATTGCCTCAGGGTTCTTATTTCGATAGGATCTATCAAATATAAGAAATCCTTAGCTTCATGTTGATACCGCTGAGAATTCTGGCATCAACCGTTTATTGATTTAATGGATCAAAACTTCTTGAATGCATTTGGTTTGTCTCTGATTACTATTTGACATTCTCTTTTTTAAAAATTTTCTTGTTTCAGTTTCAGAAGATTAAAGATGCCATCCGACTGCACAATACAGATCGTTGCAGCATTGGTCCAGCCAAGGGACCTGAAGGTTTAACCTTGGAATCTTTATCTGCGCAGAAGAATGCAGCCAAACCAGCGGGATCAAGTTGAAATGCCAGAACTTTTAGATTTATTACTGCAACAAACTTTGGTTGCTCAAGCACATACTGAGCTTAAAATTCTGTATATCGTCATTTTTTTCGTGTAAAAGAATATACTTCGTGAAGCCGGTTATGATTCTTTTGCCAATATGCTATTGCAAATGTAGTTTTACTACTGGCCTTTGTTGCTATAAACAAGCTTGTTGATCTAGGTTGC